AAAAGTATACTGAAAAGAACTCAATTGAAAACTTTATGTAGTTCGATGTGCGAGTAATTGTGACATCATTAAAAATCACAACAATCTTGTCGTTGAACACTTTATTATCCGTGTCGAATTGCCAGTAATTAGACATAAGCAACAAACAGCTTCTTTTTACAGTTTACGTCGGCGGTGATCATAAACCACCTACTTTAACTGAATTTAATTTAACAGCCGCATTACTTTCAGTTTAAATCTGACCAGACACTGTTTGGGAATTATGCAAAACTAGAGAAAGTTAACAGCTTTGGTTAGGAAGTTATATCGCTGAAGAGTCATAGATGTCAATGATGTGCCACTTTTATACGCCGCGTTACATAATCTATTATATTTCTTGTCAGCGATCGTTAGTTTATATTGATTGGATATTTGTTATAACAAAAAGATGTTCTGCCACGAGGAATAATACAGGCTTAGTGCTAAAGACAATACACTACGATGTTGAGACTTGAGATCTTCAATGAAGACTTGTTATTTAAATTGGATTCTTACAATGAGACATTGTAACAGCATTAATACGATAATAATTACAGATTATGTATGGGCCTAACACTTAAATTCAATTATGATGCCATAAAAAGGACACACATTCGCCTTGGGCTTTAATACCTATCATTACGCCGATTATTTTACAGTAGGTACACGTTTTATGTTACACTATCGTTAGTCTAGCACGACGCTAACGCTGTGTGTAGTTTACAACTTCCTAAAATGAGTATTATTTCCTCCCAAAGGTTATCCCCAAGGGCCAGTGGAGCGTCTCGGGGCGTCGGGGCACAAAGCCGTGCTTCCCGGAATACAATTCAAGCTGCGAGTGCGCATCGTGCAAAGAAACAATTGAACAAAATTATTAACCCCACAAATTGGTTTACACTTGAACCTATCCGGTAAAGCAGCAAGGCAAAATAAATATTGTTTTGTGTGTAACATTTATAAAAATCTCAACACATAAAATGTAGCTTAAATAATGTTTTAGATACTCGTATGAGAATGCAAATAAACGTAATCAATACAACTTTTTGATTTGACAAAACTGATAACGGTAAGGTTACAGCTTTTTTACGATACACACGCTTAACATTTATGTTCAAGACCAAACAGAATGATTTCAATCGGAAACAAAATTTGTCATAAAATTGATACTAAATTATAAGATAAATGGACCAGTTTTATGAATAGGTACTAACCACACAAAGATTTTTTTACCACATAGATTGTTCAAAACGTCAGACAATAAGAAATATGTAATGAATTAGGTAGCGTAGTACATTCATTGGTGAGATTTTAAATACAATTAAATTTTTGGAAAATGATTCATAAGCATTGGAGGGGATCGAGAGGGCTCTGCATTCACGGTCACGTACCGTCCGGGGCACGGGCGCCGGACGTGACGCCCGGGGGAGTCCGTCCAGCGCTTACACTTTTCAATCAGTCACGTACTCACGTCTAATGTCCGAACTTGTCCGAAACCAAATTGTTAACAAAATAAGCCTTTACAAACAGTTTCCATAAAACTTTAAAGACCATTATTCACAACCCGTTTTTACAAAATCACTATTAGACAAATCAACTTAATTATTCCAGTTACCATAAAAGCATAGTCAAGTTACTTAAATTCTATCCAGATAATCTAATCTTTATGGTATCAAGCGTTAATAGGCAATTATATTCTGATATAAATACCTCGAGATTTTTTGTAACTATGCCAAGAAATCAGACTTGCAAATCCATTCGTTTTTATAAAACTCTCGTTACAAAACAATCAGGCATTATGTCAATTGTGCGTCTCGGAGAGCTGCGAGCTGCGTAAGAATTGTTTGTGGCACCGCAGGACGCCCCGTAATGAATGTACGGCAGTTCTTTACAGCAGGGTCACTAAACTTGCTGTCAAACACGTGCGAGGACAATAACGTCACATGCCGCACAGATTGCAGTGAGAAAATATTTTTGGACACCCTTTCCAGCGGCGGCTATAAGACGCTAAAAAGAATAGACGCTTTTTCTACTGATAATTTTAGGTTCTCGGATACTTCCGTCACGTAACTAAACATTACGTGACACTTTCTTCAAAATGACTCTATTGGTATTACAGCTTAGTGGTCTACTGTTATTTCCAGGTTGACTTGACGCTGTGGGAACCGACAGAGATGCACAATGACGCGAGGCCTATTAGAAGCCGTCGATCGGCGCGGGCGCACCAAGAAATGTTGTTCCGCGAACGAAGAACAATGGTGGGTAATTTTGTAATGTCTTCTTATTACCATGCATGACGCAAGGCGAGGCTTCTATAGTGTGTGCCTATGTATCCCTACCATGATTAACATTCATACGATGCCGTAGCATGATTTAAAATTAATTCCTCGCGAAGTTTGCATGCAATGGCACAGCTTTATCCTCGCAAGCAACGTGACATACTTTGTGCCTGAACCTATGGGTAAGGTCTGACTGAAGGACGTGTAAAGAATTAAGTGAACATTATTTACCATGTCCATTCCACATCAAGAATATACTTTGAAACATAGATAAATAGCACTCTTTATTTCACTCTACACAAAACAGAAAATACAGAAAAACAGAATTAAAATGGCCCAATTTAGACAATCTTATCACTAGGACAGTTAGTTGTACGTAATAGATGGCACAGTAAAGTCAAGTTAAATGTAACACATTTCAGTGCGCAAAAGCGGTTTAGTATCGGCAATAATTATATTCTAAAGAAGTCAAGTTCCCCGACAATTCCACATGACTGGCGAGTATTCAGCCGCGGCTGCGCACTAACCTGTCGTCAGGTGTATTCCCCGTTTAGGAAATACACCCTCCTGCTTAATGGCACATGCGATATCGAATTTAATGACCGTTCTCTCCAATGAACCTGCGCACGCGCGCTCTCGAAGATTTTTTTGCTCGTCAGTTAATAAGATCGAAAGACATCTTTAATGTTTCGTGTTACTGTCTCATCATTTTAAAAGAAGCAATAAATTGGACGCAGAGCTCGAAACGACCATTTCTTTGTTAGACACGAGCGAAGACCAAGCAAATAATTTTCAGGCATGTTTAGTTCGTATTTCTTTTGCGAGTTATTTAAATCTGTGACTGCATTGCGATAATATTAATGAGACAGGAACGACCGGTGTCAGGCTTTATGTGTCGCCTTCGACGTAATAACTATTCGTCCAATATGCAGATTATAGAAAAGGAAAACGATATTCAAGATCACAATTATTGCAAACTATTTTATTAAGTGTTAAGTCGCAATTTAACAAGCTTTTTATTCTGGTAAGGTAATGAGTTTTCACGGAATTTTAAACATATGTATATGTAAATTTAAAATCAACGGTAACGACATAAAATAGGATTTTTAATTTCTCATTAAATGAAATCCTGTGCGCATCCCAGCCCATAAAATATTTTAATTAAAGACGACACACGGTCTATCCATCTAAGGATTTTTATTAGTATGATGTTAGTTTATTATTGTCGACAATAGATAAATAAAGGTAATAGATTATAATTTACGAGGCAGTAGCCATTAAAATTAATTGGAGGTCCTTTTTAATGACTCGTAGCCGGAGGATATGTAATGACCATTCGTGTGTATCTTTTTACCTACTAGGGCGCGATTAGATGCGCTTTCGATTTGGAATTGAGAACCAGTTGAATAAGAAACACAATAACAATGAATAATTCATATACTCTGGGCTTGTTTACATCTGGTCGACATTAGACGGCCCTACGAAGGTTTAATCGCTGAACAGCGCAGATTGATGCGTGATGCTATCACAATGAAGGTATTAAGGTTAAACACAAGTTGCTTTTCATTGCAGGAAATGCGCATTTGATAAGCGCATCACATAAGCAGGTTAAGACATTAAGGCCTGTTCTTCTCGAGTCCTTTGAAGCTTGCTTGTTACGAGCGGATTAAGACTACGGCGCGCTACGACTAAGCTCGTTCTGAGAACATTAGCATATACTTGACCTCAAAGTATAATTTGGTTAAGTGTAGTAAATGCAAACGAGAAACATCAGTCATATATTTTCAAATCCATTCCGCTGCTTGTTAATTTGCATGAGCATATAAATTTGTTTGCCGAAAAATTACGCAACTAGAGTCTAGCGAAATGCATATGTATGACCCCTAATGCGGCGTTGTGATTAATTCGGACTGGCAGGGTAAGGATTGCATTGCGCCAAAACTAGCTCCAACACCGACAAGTTGCTATTTCTTTGGTGCAGACCTATAAATCTAGTTCGAAGTGGGTAATTACGGAACACTTGCGAAAGACGGCTCAATCTATCGTGTCTTCGATGCCTCATGTGGAGGAGCTTTCCAATATTCTTATGTAACGAGCGGTAAAGCTCAAAAGCTGGTACAACACGCAACACTATCAATTTGCCCCCAAACTAACTCGGGCCCATTTATTAGATAATTATGTCCTATTTTTTATCTGCCAGGTAGATAATGCTGTTTTTGTCTCATCTTTCAATGGACGCTATTTGTAGTAAAAACTTCAATGGCTTTTGTGTTTTTAGGATCGTTTGAAGATTACAACTAAAATAGTACGAGATTTGTGAATTGGGAGTTTTGTAAAAAGCGTAAAGTTGAAATTTGAATAATCTCCTTTGTTTTGCATGGTCAAGAAAAAAATATTGCTTGTATTATTTTCAAAGAAAGAACTTTCTTTGGCAAATCCTTTTTTGCGTTATTCATAAAAATGGGCCTGGGGTTTGTCTGTGTGAAAATTTATTCATAATTTTGTATTTTAAAAACTGGTTAACGTTACATTTTACGGTCGGTTACTTTAATGTTGTTTGTAAAACCACCACTATAATATTGACATGGCCTAGAAACTCTAGAAATAAACGTTTAAGCACGCAAGTGCTTATTATATATTATATTATATATTCGCAGATTAGATTAGGAATAAAGGTTTTGTAATTAAAATAAAATAAAAAAATACCTTACAATTTACCGTCATCATATTCAATCTGCGGAGGTCTTTTTTCAATTAAAAAAAACCTGTTTATATTCGTTTTAATCACTCGCATAGCGTTAACTATCAATGCATGTCACATGTCCATATCACAACACTGGCACTGATACAGCCCGCAATGTGTTCAAAGTGTAACTTGATCGCGGCGATAGCGACGCATGCGACTAACCACCGACGATGTCGTGGACGCGTGTGCAGAATACCGTGTAAAAGGAAACTTACCACTACCCGCACAAACTCGAGAATTAATTGGCAATCGTTAATTACACGATTGAGATATTGTTACTTGAAACGACAAGACAATTTAATAACAAAAATTCAGTCGAAACAATAAATACCACTTGTTCATGAAATTTTAATGCGCTGTAAAATTATTCGACATTAAATCATCGCTGTAATAATCGTCTTCAGCAAAACATTCTAATTTGATTAATAAATCTAGACGTAAATAAATAATAGTAATTCAACGTAAGTACCGAAATCAATAAAAAATGGCCTTCGTGTTTGTTAATTGACATTGAATTTGGCAAATTAAACGCATAACTGTTCAGTAACAATCGTAAGTTATTTTAATAACGCCGGCCTCCTGAATTACGCAATCGTAACAATTGAATAATTAGGCACGAATTCACTTGCAATTGATCAATATACCAACTTGGTAAAACACTTACATGCATCATAAGTCCTCAGTGTTTATGTGAGTGCGCTGCGGTCACTAGTAGCCGAACATCACTAGGGCGTGGGTCACGTAGACCCGGTTGTTTACAAGCACTGTGGTCCGTTTGTGTCACTGTCGAATCGTGCGAGCGGGCGCGCTGCGCGGCGAGGACTGTGCCGGCGCGTGCGCCGTCAGCGGGACTCCTGCGCTACGCCCGTCCGCCTAACTACCATTCCAAGCCATATACGACACTAATTAAAAACAACACTACTATCCAAACTATTCACATCTGTCCATCGCAGAACCGCGCACAACATAATAATTCACTTCCAATATTTTATTGTCAGGTCAATTTACCATTCCATTTTTAACGTTCCACATAAAATAAGCAAGCCGTAGATGCTGATTTCACAGCTAACGAGAAAAATTATGTGTCGAACATAAACATCAGCACCATAATTTACATCAGTAATGAAATATCGCGTTCCATTGCTCGATATCGTTCGGACCATCAAATAAAGGATGTCCTATAAATATATTGCAAAAATGCTTTGCTCGTGTCTTATTAAAGTCTACGCGCGATACGATCGATGCAGTAGGTCAACATCGTTAACCAATGACAAAAACTATATAAATCATCTGTGTAACATATCGGTGGAGTAATAGGTAAATGTAAGAGCTGTTTAATAATAAAAGAGTTTCGTGATCAGCGCGGAGCGAGCAGCACGCGTGCAGCCGCGGACCGCGAGCGCCCGCGGGCCCGGGAAGTGGAGTATGTCACACAAGTTATCAATCACACTCGCACGTACGAAATGAACATCACGCTAACCACTGATCTGGTTCCACAAGTTGGCCAACGCTGACCGATATATTATGTTACTCAAACAAGCTTACGCCAAGTCACAGGGCTAATTCTCAAGAAATGAACTTGCGGAAAAATTTAATACATTTATAACCACAAAACTATCAAAGCCTACTCCGACCGCGGTGTCGAAACTTCCGACAGTATCTTGCGACAGACTCCTACTAAGGCACCTATCGATTGGTATTCGCTGTCAGCTCCACTAGTTGAATAACTCTGTTAGGTAATAGGGCTTAATATGCAATGCTACTTTGTGCCATATGAGTTGACAGCTTAATCTTCTTGAGAATATACAAATTGACATTTAAACAACAACATTGCAGCAACTAAGCCGGGTTGTGTTGATTTATGCGAAGTATTCAGCTAAATCGTGCGTACATATTTCTCGTTGTTGGCATTCAACCTAAATAAACAATGGTAATAAAGAGTTGTGTTCCTTCGACAGAGTAACCTGAATTCATCGACCCCGACTGTGTCCGATTGAATTAAACCAGTTAAATTATATCATTGGCCGTCTGTCGTCAGTAATTCGATTAACTGCCGCCACGCTCTGGCGAGGAATGCCACGACATCCATTTTCCCTCAGGGTCCTTGCGCTCCATTACCGAATACTTTGGGAGTTTTAAACACATTTTTACGGCAGTGACGCTTTCTTTTATATCGTGTCAGCTTTCTTTTCCCCGTTGAATGCATGACATCGGTGTTTATGTATCATGCTCGTTGGCGTTATTTCAGCCGAGATTTACGATAACTTGTGCACTTAAACTCTCAAGTGTCAGAAATGGGGCATATTTCTCTCGTTGAAATCGTTTATAATGTAGGATGTAAAACTCGGAATGTCTGAAGAAATTCACTGCATTACCTACATTTAATTTGCTACTGGCTCATTAAGTCGACTCACGTCCGTATCCATCCACTATCATGCACTTGTACATGTGTCATATCCAAATTCGTCAAACGAAGTGCTTGTCGACAAAACGCGCTGAATCGACAATCGCCAATTAATGCAAATATGCTGAATTAACATTTGAAACACAGGGCAGCCTGCTATTGCTGTGCTCGGTCGTTCACCAAAATGCTTACTACGACTAGAGTAAACGATTTTACTCCATTTTTAGGTCATAGAAATTCTACACGTGCAGACGCTTCTATTGAATGAAATCACGTATGTTTTATACAAGTAGGGGAAAGTAGTACGAGATGATCCCCTTAAGCGGGAATCGCTGTAAAATACATATTTTTCAAGGTAAACCAAAAATAAAGACGATTACTACTAGTATATTTATCTATCCAACTTTCCTTATACTCAAAACCAGAAATTAATTGAGGTTTCATTAAAATATTTCATTTTTTGCAAAACCTTACCAAGTGATCATCTTGTACACCCCTGTGGGTAAGATGATCCCCAGGTAGGGGTAAGATGATCCCTATGATTTTGTTCTATGATCTATTCTTTTCTGGTTATATTCCTTTCGGAGTACCTAATTATGCGAACAAATCGTTAAAAAGTTAGAAAAGAAAAACATTTACGAATTAAATAACAAAAATAACAGATTCTTTCTTAGTACCTGCTAAAAAGCGTTTAAATAATTTAAACGCTTTTTGGCTGGAGCTGTGTTGAATATATCACAAATAAATTCACCTGCTTCATCACCCTCTACCCCAGCACATGCTTTATGGCCCTATTTTCCACATGCATAACATTTTATCCATCCTTTACCCTTGGTATCGCTTGAAAACTTTTCTGTTCAGTACAGCCACTCAGTTCATCTCTTTCAGACTCAGGTGAGTTATATGAAGTTCTCTTACTTTTATTTCACTTCCCTTTACCTACTCCATTGACTTTTTTGTTTTAATTCCCAGGGATCATCTCGTACATATAGGAAGGGATCATCTTGACCCAAGTCCCACTTTTTGTTAAATATTTGCTAAAATAATCTACAAGTACGCGGCTACGTTTTTATGGCCAAAATATTAAAATTAAACATAATAGAAAGCCTAACGACAACAGTAATTTCATTTAACATTGTTTGAATAAAAGTAACATAAGCTCAAAGTCATGCCTATTTTAGATCAGAAGTACACAATTTTTCTTTTTTCTCGTCAAATTCGATGTATCGCTCACGCCACCATTACGATTTGACTGAGGCGGGGATGTGTCCAGAGCTATGTTTTGCCAGTGAAAGAAACTAAATGACATTAGTGGTTTCAGCACAATCGCGAAAGATCATCTTACCCCAGGGGATCAACTCGTACTACTTTCCCCTATCTGCGTACATTCACGTTCTTCTTCAATTATCCAATTTTGAAGAATACATGAAAGTAAATTAAAGTTTTAAAGGGCATAGTAGATTAAAGCTCAGATTATTGCATTATACTCAGTTATTAGCTCAGAGAAGTATGCAAAAAATTGTAACTTAGAAAGGCTACGGTAGCACTATTTGCATCATTTCAATTTGCAGACTTCAACATAATAAGATAAAGCTGTGAAATATCTCGGTTGTCACGGTGGTTAGGAAACAGAATCTATAGCACGAATAGTTGCATTACTTTAATAATGCAAGTATTCGTTTTCATAATTTATACATACGGACTTGTAGTAACATTATTTACAAGCGTCCGTTAATTGACCATCAATAAATGTTAATTGATTCATAAAAAATATATTTCCTTTTCATTTACAATACTGAAAACAGCAAATATGGATTTCACTAAATTATATATTTTATTCAATAAGCGCAAGCATTATTGTTTCAGACATAAGAAATAATAACATGCCGCAGGGCTTCTAAGCTTCTAACATGCTACATACAAGGCACAACACAAACACGAGCTAGGTAGAACTGTAGAAAATAGGTCGGCCGTCTAATGACTGATATAGCGGAGTTATTTGTGAAGCATTATCCAATTTTCCATTCTACAACCATTATATGAATGGGTCCCGGGACGAGCGTGCGTGATCGCGCCGCGCACGCAATATTTTATCCAATTCCTATACTCGGGTCCTATTCCATCTCAATTGTTTTTTAAATTAAAAAAGATTAAACAAAATGTGATGAATCATGAACTCGATCGGCATTAATATCTTTCCGCGGCCTGTTCCAGTAACCTAATCTTAAAATATTTGCAATGTTCCTTTTGTGTTGTCGATACGAACAATGTCTATAATATTTTTAATGTCATGGTAGTTGTCTACTTTTTTGATGGTCATATAACAAATATACTCGATGAAAGGGGCGTGCCCTCAAAATATATACATCACGAGATTATTGATAGTTGCCTTTTGTTTCCGCAAATACCGTTAGCTCGCCCCACTGTCCTGCACAATGCTTTTGTTTTATTAAGAGCTTTCAGATTATAATAGACCAGTAATGAACCAGTTTATAACTTCTCGATAACAGAAGAATAAGCCTCTTGAACAAATAGCAAAGTTGAAAGCTGTTTTGCATTTTACTGCCCCTTTTTGCCAGGGATTATCTTCTGTTCTGTGAAGGTGCCTTTGCCCGAGGTGTTTGATTAACCAACTTTGTGTTGTTTTTGTAAACCACTCGAACGCACAAAAGATTTTGTGAATACCTGATTTCTTTTCATCTTATTTCAACAGGTTTGTAAATTATGTCAGTTGCGGAGGTGGTTCTTTTGGTATTA